ACTTTCTCCCTGTTAATCATAAAGAAAACAAACATTCAATATATCAAACACATTCCAACAGCATGATCACTCATACCAAATTCCAAGCAGCAACACCAAATTCTTAGCATCAACATCCCAATAATCAAGATCTATTAATATTTGATTCTTATTTTCATACCTGGAACATCTCCCATGCAAGCCTCTTCTTTTCCTCTGGCCAATTAGTCCAGAAAAGCACAGGTTCATCATATAAAAACTTCCATATAGCTGTTGCTGTCCTGCCAAATCTCTCATTGCTAAATGACCCACGCTGATTTATTTTGAGCAGTTTTCTCTGACTTGGATTCGTTGGTGCTTCGTCCCCCTTATCCATGCCACGTCCTGTCTTTTGGACAGCATGAGATAGCTCCTCCTCAAGTGCAGCATCCAACTCAGGATCAAGTTGATCGTACTCAGCAGCAAGCTCAGCTTCTAAGTTACGCTCTTCAACCAGCTCCTCCGCATCCTCCTCCATTGGTGCCTCATCACCAAGCTCCTGATCAGGCAATGGAGGTTGCTGCTGCACCTGCGATACTGGATGGGTCCAAGTAGGCAACTGTTGCTGGTGCAGCTGTGTGACTGGAGGGGTCAAAGTGGGCTGTTGTTGCTGCAGTTGCTGCCGTGAGGGAGGCTGGCTCAAACTAGGCAACTGCTGCCGTGAGGGAGGCTGGCTCAAAGTAGGCAACTGTTGCTGTGAGGGAGGCTGACTCAAACTGGGCATCTGCTGCTGTGTGGAAGCAGCCTTACGAGGCCCACGAATAAGACGTCGAAGTTGCTTTTGTGCTTTATCCAATGTATTACTGGCTTCTTTAGACGATGATTCACCTCGAGTACCTCGTCCCATGTCTATACACACAAAATAATAAAATTACGTAAGCTTTCATGAGATAATTGTAAAATTTAAAGATACCATAAATAGAATAAATAAACATATAAATAATACAAATATATAATATATTTGTAATTACATGCTTCATTAGCATACTAGAGATGTAATAAGGAACAAGGAGTTTATGGAATTTCTTATCCTGATCAGAAGCGCTTGAAGGTAACATCATATTTATTCCCTTTATGTTTTAGTTTTAATTCTAGTTACTTATTTATTGGCTGTATTTGTTCTGTTCCTATGATTTTTGGTATTTCATTTGATTGTTGATTTGTTTCACTCTGAGATCATCAAAGCAGCAACACTTATAACCAATAAGAGAAATAGAGAAAAAAAATCTACCCTACACACTACCTAAATCCCCTACCGTTTTTCCTTTTCTTCTTTGGCTTCCATAGGAAATCTACCCCTTTTTCTTTTTGTACAAAATAATAACCAATAAGTAAATTATATGCTAATGTATAAATCATAACTCAACAAAAAATAGAGAGGTCCATACACAATGGGCAAAGAAGATAAGATATTTCAAAGATGATTTTAAGGAAATATCTCCAAGGTGATTGGATGTTGGATGGTAACCCCGAGTTTCTCTTCCACTTTTAAAATTGAGTAAGATATTATCCAAATAGAATGAGTTGAGGGATAGAAAATACTGTCCACCGCTATACAAATTAATATATAAAAAAAAGTAATTATTATGGATATGTAACAAACATATTAATATTAATTAATTAGGAGTACCATTCATAAAAGAAAAAAATACCAGTAAAGATTTTAAGTAATAACTCTTACAAAAGTATGAATATGCTAATGTATGTCATATAAAGGTTTAAACACTTGCAAAT